TAAAACTAGTGACCGGCTCTAACCATGAGTAACCAACCAACCGTTTAAAAGCTTCACCTTTTTACAAAGCGTCTCGGTCACGAGGTTTAAAAACTTCGTAGCGACCCATTCTTTATTACAATGGTTATTTCCCCTTCGGTGGCATATAATGACAACGCTTCTTGATGCACTTCCAGTCGAAGCCACAATCCGAGTCGTACTGGCACCAGCCCGGCTAAAGGGCCTGGGGCCAGGCGTTAGTTCTTGTTTTAATGATAGTAGCCGACCCGAACAACACTTGCGATCGGCCACTTACTCGTTTTAAATTGCGGATCGGCTCTGAATCATGCTCAACCTGGCGGCCCTGGCGTTTCTATAACGTAACCAATTACTGTAAGACGATGTCGGGATAAAATAAAGAAACACTGAAAGGAAAGAGCCAAAAAAACATACGAGAACCGGTCCATCGTCAACAAAATCGCCTGTGCGCTTTTTGAAGATGTCACGTTTCTAAAACAACCTAAATTTAAATGGAAATGATCGAATAGCATGATCACTAGTTATGTCACCACTAACCACACGCCTATCGCAATCGCCGTCGTGACGACATACGGCCGCCCAGCTTACCGTGGCCAGCGCCAGCAGCAGGAAGGCGTAACGCATTTTTTTCCACGCTTCAAGCTGTGGCGCCACTTTTTGAAGGAGTATTCGTTTTGCATAAAATTTGCAAAATGGCCTTTGACTTTTGGACAAAGAAATTACTTACCCCAACCAGCCAATTGCTTTTTTTGGGTTTCTGGAGAGACCTAGGTAATTTTAAACGGAAATTTGCATTCACAACTTGGTGCAAGATGTCTCACCTCGCATAAACCCTTCTTGTTGCTTTTCAGGGATCAAGGGATCTTCACACCTGATTGGCGGTATGTCTTTGTCGGAAGAAAAAAAAGCGATGCGGCGCTTTTTGGAATTCGTTGAATCAATCAGCAGGAGAAACTAAGAATCGCGCAAAAGTTCGTAGTGCCCAACAGCATAGATCCTTCATGCGGCTCGAAGTAATATTTCTGATCTTTCCTGTATTCCTGCAGGCCCAGGAGCAAAAATCGGATAATGAGGCGATAACAGCCCTGAAGAAAGTGATCTTAGAATTAGCTTTAAAATTTCTACTTTAGGCGGTGCCAGGGATTAGTGACGATCAGTTGGCCCACTTCGACAAGTGTTTGAGCCTGATGTGCCAAGATGAATGTGAGCCCGAAAAGCTGGAGGGCTGTTTGAAAGAAGCGGCAAGTTATTAGCGGTGCTCTCGCTCTCTCTCTCTCTCTCTCACTCTCTCTCTCTCCCGGTAATAACTCCAAATTTAGTTATCCAACAACGTTCCGGTCCGTCATCTTAAATGGTCGTTCCTGGGCGGCATAGTGAAAACCTTCACTTTCATTGCAAAGGTATCGGATCTGCACAATGATTTTTTTTATTACTAGTTAGTTTCAGCATCAGAAAGAGATAATTGCCATCGCTTCAGTCATCGCGGCCGCTGTTCAAACTATCATAACTTGAATTCGAATAAAGAGTTTTGTTTGTCAGTTTTTATATTTTTTTCTGGAGGTATTCTACTGCCAGAGATACTTGAATTTTGGTTCCTCGTTGGACCGCGACCGTATCTCATCCAAAATTCGATACCAACCAATTCCTTGCACGTCTTTTGCGGCTTCTTCTGAAGCTTTCGAAAGCATGGCTCCACCCCAAAAATCAAAAACTTCACCGTCCTCAAACCTCCCTTCAAGCTTCAAAGGTCAGACAGCTCTAAAGCGAATCATTCATCGAAGCGGTCGCCAAATGCGGTTCGCGATAATCCTCCTACTATTACCTGCCGTGCTACTCCTACAACTCGGGACATGGACGGAGACGGAGGAGGGCAAACTAATCGAAGTCTTCAAGGAGGTCAAGCTACCGTTTTCTCACAATTTTCCGCTGTCTTTAGGCGATCCCAATCCTGACCAATCAGCAGATCAAAGCCATACTGATCTGCCTAAAACGCGAGTGTGCCGTCTCCTGCGGAGAATCCCGTTTCCGGCATTGTGTACTGACAACCATCAAGGTGACGAGGATACTGAGTGCTATGGATACAACGTTAATTTCAGACCGATCCCAGGATGGCTCGAATAAAGGCCGCAGCTAAAAGTGATGGCTGGGACCGGCTGATGAGGTTCCTCGGTGTGTACTGGGACTAAAACTAATCGCCGGGAATAAATGTTATGAAAGTACGGATTTTCTCGAATTTGACGCTTAAATGGATAAGGTGTATAAAAACTTGCAAATTACTTGATTTTACTGGTGATGATGATTTTTCTGGCGTGCACGTTGCGTGTCACCTGGTTTCGCTTCCGCTTTTCCCTTAACTGCAGGAATTCTGGAGCCACGACATCTTACACGCCTCCCGTGCGGCATACCTTTGGCGGCTTCCAATAAAGAAAAACGCTTCCGAAAACGGAATACATCGTTTCGAGTCGTAGATCGGAAGAAAGTCTCAAAACAGGCTTAAAATTTTGTAGCGGCACGCCTGGGCCATGCTAGTACTAATATTATTTCTGGTGCCTCATGTGTTCCGGCTGGCTAAGGCTGACTTGACCATGGAGCAAAAATTAGCCGCGTTGAAAAAAGTAAATCACATTCTTGTCGCCAGTGATTTCAAGCGTTTCAAGATCGCCCCGGCATCACCGATCCGCAATTGCTCTTCCTTGCTGACTGCTTGGAAAAGAAATGTTCAGATGCTTGTCACGTTAGCCTGGTTGAGGGCTGCTTGAAAGATGCCGTAAGAAAAGCGTGATCCCTAGTTTTTCGCAAAATACAAAATTCTAGCTAGCCTCCCAACCACGCCAGCTAAAATTCAGCACTGGCTTTGGGCTCGACGCTATTGGGGAGAGGATCCAGTTTCTTTGGGAGGTTCGTGGCCCTTCGTTTCGATAAATGCCATTTTTAGCACAAGGTCGATATCATCAAGGCGGCTTTTCTGCTAGGCTGAAAAAGGATGAGATTTCGTCGAATAAATGATTTTCAGAATATTTTAAAGGTGTCCAAAAACACGTTGCAAGAATAGCTATGCCTCTGGTTGATTAGAGTATCAGATACTAAAAAGCCACATCTCGAACTAGAGAACTCCGCATTAGAACGTCGATTGCTAGCCTGTCGATTGCTTATCGAACAGCCTTTCTGCAGTTGGACTCGATTGCTCATTCAACAAGGTCATCCCAAACATTTTGCAGCTTTTGTCGCGGCAGGCCTTTCGCGGCTTCCGCTAAAGCGAAGTTTGGCCAAAAGTCGAATACATTGTTCCTGATCAAAGATCAGTGGACCGTCTCAAAAGCCGCAGAAATTTGCCAAAAGCAGGTCAGGTATTCCCGGACCATGCGGACCGTAATATTGCTTCTCTTGGTTTCTGCTTTCTTACTTGTGGGCGCGGACATGACCCGCGAGGCGAAACTTGCTGTTTTCAAAAAAGTAATCTCATTTTTGCACCTTGACGCTACTCCAGCTTTAGGCCGCGCCAGGGCTCACCGACACGCAGATAGTGTTTGTTGAAAAGTGTGTTGAGGTGAAGTGCGCGAGTCGTTGCTTTCCTGACGATATCGAAAAGTGTTTGAAGGACGGGGTAGGAAACGTGATTTTTGGGTTTGAGCAAGCACAAAGTTATAGTTAGCCTCTCCGTCCAGCCGCTGAATTCGTGTCGTGCCGCTTGATGTGAAGCTTTGAATAAATGTGCTAAACGGCGGTTTTCGTGAAGTCATGCAACGCAATCGGGTTGGAAGATTCGTAGATTACAGGATGCCCCCAAAAAAAAGGGGCCCCCTGGCGGTCCGGAGAAAGCTCGGATCGTGATGAATTTTACACCATTCGAAAGCCCTTCAAACGGCGAGAAAACAAGCGCTTTTAATTTTACAAAATTTTTTAGCCCACGCTCAATCTGTCACGATTTTTTTTAAAGGCGTAAAATCAGTGTTGCGCTGTTAGCTTTAGCAAGCAATTTAAATGCAGATTTGCAAAAATCTTGATGGATTTTGATATTAAAATTCGTCAATTACAATGTCTATGCTGCAAAACAAAAACTGCTTGTTTTGTCGCCTTTCCGAAAGCTTTCGATAGATACCTAAATCGTCAAAATCGGACGCTTCTGCGGTCCTCTAGAGGGGATAGATTTTTGGAACACCCGGTGCTTCTTCATTTTCAAGCACGGTTTTTATTAAAAACCTTCCATACTAAAAAAATTCTTCGCACGGAGATCAGGGTATAGAGAGTCCGCAGAAACTAGACCAGCCGACGGAGGGTCCAAGCTTTTCTCCACCATGATGCAAAGGTTTATGCAAAGTGTGGTCGAAAAGTGGAGTGACCCCCTCCAAAAACACGTGCAGAACTGGGGCCCTCGAACCCGACGAACATTGGACCGACACATTGGGCAATAAAGGTGAGTATAAAACTCGCACCGGCTTCGGAAGTCGGTCTAATATGATAATTTTTGCAGATTTTAGAAAACAGCGATCATCATGCTTGACGATTATTTTACCATCTTCACCGCCAGCCTCCTCGGCATCTTGCAGTCGACAACATTTTTTGGCTTTGATCTCTTGGCATTTGTGTCCGAGCCGATCACTCATTCCGTGCATGTCCGATGTCCGGATTGTATCGTGGAATTTGCTGGATATTACGGGTAGGGATTGTGACGTTGTAAATCGCATTTCCTCTTTTAGCCAAAGCGTCATCTATTTTGTGTACACCCTAGCGAACTTGATTGTCCCCTGCTTCTTGCACAAACTCGGAATCCGCGGCAACCTGATGGCTGGTGCCTTTTGCTTCATGTTATTCTGCATGTCGTTCTTCCAATTGAGGAATTACACCTATTTCCCAGCTTGCTTATCAGCGGGATTTGCATTTGCGTGTAGGTCGACGTTTTTCGATATCTGGAGTTACGTATTTTAGTTTATTACTGCGGCGCTGGAGCCTATTCGGCCAAGCACTCCACGGAAATCACGATCTCACGCAACCAGTCTTTGACCTGGATGTTTTCCGCTGTTGGGTATGGAAAAATTTCCTCAAAATGCTAGGTTTCAGACTCGCCCTTTGCGGAGTCTTCATCATGATCTCCTCCGAGTTGACGGCTATGCAAATCGCGGCTTTAGAAGGGACGAATGCCACCATTATCGTAAGCCTCGGCATCATGAGCTTCAAAAACTAAATTTAGGAAACCTCATTCCGCGACTATTCTGACTACGAAATTCGAATTCTGGCCATCGGAACGGTCGTGATCTCTTGTGTCGCTATGACTCAGTTTTTACAATCCCGGTCCGGCCGATCAAAGATTCTCTTTACGAGAAGACCGAACATGTCGACACCGTTAGAGATCAGCTGCGTGAGTTTATAGACAAACCCCTGATTTTCGAGTATCGTCGCTTCAACCAGCTTTTCAGGAATGGTGCTCTGGGCATTCCGGCAGAAAGGCCTCTTGAAAATGGCACCCTTCTTCCTGTTCACCGGATTTTTCACGATCTTCTGGTTGTCCATCTACACAACAACGCTTTCATTCACTCAATCATTGGCCGTCTATAAAAATTTGGTGGCATACTACTGCCTAGCGATCACTTTTGGCGAAGTGATCGGTAAGACTTCCGCGGTATCGCCCTAGCCTCTTTTAGTCGGTGTGCTGATGAGCTACCTCAACAAACGAATCAAAGATTTCGGGCTGGTGCCGGCGATGAGCATGGTGATTTCGATGTACTCGCTGGCGTCGGTTCTGATTGTTCTCTACACTCCGGCCGATTCGAGTATCAGGCCTACGAGCGAATTGTCGTTTTGCGAGCCGAGGTAAACGCAGAATGCCCCGGGTAGCGCTTTTCCCTAGCTTTTGGATGGCCCTCATCATCGGTGTGATCAACGGCATGGTGGACGGGTCGATGAACAACGTACGAATCACGACTGCTGCTCGGGCTGTACCTTCACAGCCAGCTATCGCATTTTGCATCACAAAGTTTTATCAGGTTTTGAATTCCTGCAGCTTTAAAGGCGTTCTTTTTAGGCGCTCGCCTCTACCTTCTTTTATTATCTCTGTTCAGTCTTGGATACTTACCAAATTGTTGCGCTGATGACGTTCACCTTATTGATCGGTACGGATCTTAGGTTTAGGCTTACAAGGAGTGGTTTTTGAGTGGCATTGGCAAATCCCGTCGCGAGCTAGTTCATTCGATAGAGAATTAAATTCTGAACAACCTCCCGGTGTTCATTTTTGCAAAATGGCTCTCCCGGATTTTATAAAATTAAAAAACTAAAAATTGAATTTTAGGTACCTTGTCTGGCGCGGCCAGCCTACTGGAACGCCACTAGGGCATGAGCTCTCTCCGCCTACCCCCTCACCATGGGACGTGGCCTAGGGGTTAAGGCATACGCCTTCAAAATCTTTTTGGATCTTTGTGGAAAGTTCGGTTCCCTGGTAGAAAATTTGTTTTGCTTTTTGTTCATAAAAACGTTTGCAGACGCTTTGATAAGTTAATTGATTTAAATAATACTTATTACAACGTTGGCTGCTCCGCGCGTATTGAGGAAAATTTACAACAGAAAACGAATATTATGGTCCAGGTTAGTGTGAGTCCTCTCAATTGGAAGTAGAGCGTGTTTAAAAATACTGGGGCCACTTATAATACAAAAAGCAAAACAAATTACATCTACAAGAACCGAACCTGCAAAAGATGGAAAAATAAATTTTGGAAGACAGCCGCGTTAGCCACTGCGCCACTTCCGACGGTGACGGGGGGCGCGCTGAAGGCCTTTTCCCCTAGAGCTGGCACGGCATGATTTTGATGCGGCGAACCGACAGTTGGCCAAAATTCCATTTAAAGTTTTTAATTTTATAAAATCAGGGAAGGGCGTTTTGCAAAAATGAACACCGGGAGGTAGTTCAGAATTCAATTCTCTATCGAATGAGCTAGGTCGCGAAGGGATTTGCCAATGACACTCAAAAACCACTCCTTGTTAGGCTTAGGCTTAGGTTGGGCTTCGTTTCTAAGTATAGGCATCTTGGTTTTTCACCTACTTTTTGAGCAATACTACACTTCCGCTTCAGGTTTAATCGGCTTCATCTCACTTCTCAAAGATCTCCGACGGATACACGACGCCGAAAAGCTGCCCGAAAAGAAATTGAGAATATGAAAATCCGTCGACTGTCATAAAATTCTTTTCCAGCTGG